TGCCTCCTGCACGTGCCCCAACCGGGGCTGGGGATCAAGCCAGCAACTGAGGTATGAGCCCTTGTCCAGAATCGAACCCAGGACCCTTCAGTCTGCAGGCCGGTGCTTTCCCTGGTTGCGAACATAATACATGAGGGTAGCATGTGCGAGGGGGTGGCAAGCTTCTCCTGTAAAGGGCTGGTTAGTAAATATTTTCAGCTTCCGGGTCATGCGATTTCTGTGCAATAATTGCGTCCATCACTTAGTGCAAAAGCAGCACGGGTGATGTGTGGATGATGGGAGTGGCGTGTGCTAATGAGCATCTATGACCACTCAAATTTGAATTTCATGTCCTGAAATATTACTCATTCTTTAATTTTTTCCCCCCAACCAATAAAAACTATAAAAACCATTTTTACCTTCAGGGCCCTAAAAAAGCAACCCGCAGGCTGGCTTTGGCCTGTGAGCCATGCTTTTTTGGTGACCACTGGCTTTTAATTCTTCTTATTTTTTATTAAAAGATATTTTTATTGATTCCAGGGAGGAAGGGAGAGGGAGAGACATAGAAACATCAATGATGAGAGAGAATCATTGATCGGCTGCCTCCTGCATGCCCCACACTGGGGATTGAGCCTGCAACCCAGGCATGTGCCCTGAAGGGAATCGAACCATGACCTCCTGGTTTACAGGTCAACACTTAACCACTGAGCCACGCCAGCCGGGCACCACTGGCTTTTTAGGTGGTTTCTATTCTAATCTAAAATCTGTCCCATGTTGAATTCACAGGCTAAAACCAAAGTATTGTGTGCTTATCTGAGTTTCTTCAGAGTGTCCTGTGAAAATAACTCACAGGAGTCTCATTCGCTTGAAAACAGTAAGAACCCAGAAATAATCTCAGCTCCTTCCGTTCTCCCCTATCCTGTAATCGAGGTCAAGTGTTCAGAGACCACTTTTCAAAGATGAGTAACATTGACACAAGGGAGCAGACAGGCAGCTTTCATTAGAGGCCTAACTCCTACACTCACATGGGACAGATGCTGAAGACGTTGTTCAAACAGTGGGAATAAACTTTTTTTGGGTAAAATATGTTTTTATTGATTATTAGAGAGAGAGAGAAAGAGAGACGGGGAGAGAGAGAGAAAAACATTGATGAGAAACACCTTTAAATGGCTGCCAACCAGGGACCAAACCCACAACCTGGGAACATGCCCTGACCAGGAATGGGCCTGGGGACCTTTGGGTGCATGGGAGGCCGCCCGACCAAGCCACACCAGCCAGGGCGGGACTTCGCCTTCTGTAGGGGGAAGGAAGGTGGAAGGAAGGGAACTGCCCTGGGTCCTCAGCTGCTCCTCTAGCCCTGCCCGGCGCATCTATAAACAGTCAGGGTGGCCTGCAGAAGGGGTCACAAGCCAACTTAACAGCCGTATTAAGCACATGTACTTCCCATTAGCCACAGTAACATGCCAAAACATCCATATTTTAATAGGTACTATAAAGAACATTCATAGCAAGTAATTGACAGAGCCCTGGTTAGTATGAATCAATTCTCCATTTTCTTTTTTTTTTTAAATATATTTTATTGATTTTTTACAGAGAGGAAGGGAGAGAGATAGAGAGTTAGAAACATCGATGAGAGAGGAACATCGATCAGCTGCCTCCTGCACATCTCCTACTGGGGGTGTGCCCGCAACCCAGGTACATGCCCTTGACTGGAATCGAACCTGGGACCTTTCAGTCCGCAAGCCGACGCTCTATCCACTGAGCCAAACCGGTTTCGGCCAATTCTCCATTTTCTTAATTCAATTGGACATATGTAACTGCTAATTGGTAGAAGACAGTCAATGCATCATGAGCTGAAATGAATAAGACTTTTGGGGGTAAGAAAATCAAGTGATTCTAGAAACCATCACCCGCCACACACACACACACACACACACACACACACACACACACACACCTAATTCAATCATTTTATTACACCCATAATTAGAATTGTTCTTTATAATGTAATCAATTTTAAGATAATCAGTTCCATCATTTGCACAAATAGCTAATATAAAGACAGCAAGTATGGAAATAATATTAACACCCCAAATTTCCTAAACCTTGTTCTCTGGCCCTGGCCCCTTGGCCAAGCGTCTCACCACCACAACCCTGGAGGAAGCAAGAAAGGCCAAAAAACAAAACCTTCATGGCCACGGCTATGGCTACTGGCCTCACATTTATTTTTTCAGGTTTAAGCAAAGAGGGGAAAACATCTCAGATTTGAGATTTTTCTTCAGAACAGTTTTATTAGTTTGCATATGGTGTGTCTACCCTCGACTTTCCTGTCCTACTTTGACACACAAATCCAGTTATTCGTAGTCTTCTTCACCCCATATTTCGTAGATGGTAACATTGTTATGTGGGTCTGCAGGCCTCTCAAAGTTCTGCGCCTTGTAGTCACCGGCAGTTGCCACGGCGACTTTCAGATTCCGCACCTTGGACATGAACTGCACGAGGTCCATCTCAAGCTGGCTTAAGGTGTGCAGTGCGTAGTCTTTGCTGGGGTTAGCACACTGGTTCTTCTTCGGTGCAGCACGAACCGAAGAGCCTCGAGGGCCAGGAGGGGTCTTCTCCTGTCAACAAAGATGTGCGGGGTGAATAACACCGTCGGCTTTGGGGACTTGGACACAGGTCCGGGAGAGGTGGGCTCACCTAACAGAAGAAGGTTCTAGCGTTGCTCTAGTCCAGGGACTGGCAAACTATTGCCCACCATCTGTTATCGTAAATAAAGTTTTATTGGAACACAGCCCTGCTCATTCACACACATACTGTCTGGCCATGGTGGGCAAACTGCGGCTCGCGAGCCACATGCGACTCTTTGGCCCCTTGAGTGTGGCTCTTCCTAAGCCTTAGGAGTACCCTAATTAAGTTAATAACAATGTACCTACCTATATAGTTTAAGTTTAAAAAGTTTGGCTCTCAAAAGAAATTTCAATCGTTGTGCTGTTGATATTTGGCTCTGTTGACTAATGAGTTTGCCGACCACTGGCCTAGGGCTGCTTTCGGACTAAAGTGGCAGAGTTGAGTCACTCACTGCAACGCTGAAAACATCTAGTGTCTGGGCCTCTACAGAGAGGCTTGCCAGCCCCTCTGGTCGGTCTGGACACAGCCCAGGGAGGTGTGGGGGTCCGTCTGGTAGAGAATAAGCTGCCATTTTCTGTCTCTTTCCCCTTCATGGAGATGATTGGCTGGTGCAGGCAGGGGCTATCCCTTTACAAAGTTCTCTACCTTTACTGGGGATAATGCTATCAACTGCATTCGACTCAGCAACTTGTAAGAAGTCAACCGCTAGGGAAATTAAACCTCGGGCAGCGAATCTGGCTCTGTGAATAATTTTGACCCCAAACACACCAAGTTCTTGAATCTATCCTCATTGAACAAACTCACTGAACAGGCTAAATATCAAGCCAAGGTTTCCTTCACCCAGTAACCAGAAGCTGGTCTCCAATGTAGTCCCAGCCGTGGTGGGTCTGGGCTCCATCAGGAAGGGACTGGCCAGCGTCTCCCAGGACCGCGGTGGTTACTTTGCATGAAAATCCCTTCTACTCTACTGTCCTGCCTGGACCACCCCCATGTCTCAGAGTCGGAGATTTCTGAGGGGGCAGCAACCTGGGATAAAGAATGGAGCCGTCCTTACCTTACTCTTCTCACGGTCTCTTCGAAACTTGAGAATTACATACAGTATAACAATAAAAAAGAACCAGAGCCACTTGCTGACGAGCCAGCCTGGGGCGTGCTCTGGTAGGTTCTGCCTAATTCGGAAGTGCCCTCCGCAAGGCACCTTTCCGGGGGGTGCTTTGACATTCTCCCTCAGAGAAGAAAACATAAAGGCGTAGCCGCAAGATAGGCATATGGGCAGGAACAAGGTCCATTTCAGGGTCCGCATGGTGAGCAGGGGTGGGGGAGGAGGCTGCTCATGGTGGGTCTGTCTGCCCTCGCACCTGGACTGAGTGCTGGGGCTGAGCAGGGTTGATGTCACAGAGGCCCCGGCCAGGAGCGGCTCCGGCCATTGTGATGGCGGCAGGGAGGCCAGGGAGGCCAGGGTCCGGGAGGAGGATGTAGGGAGCTGGAGGCATTCCCAGCAGGCCGTCAACAAGAGAGGGTGGATGGTGCTTGCCATGTCCTTGCTAGCCTTTCTGACGCCCTGGTGCTGTGCTGGCCGAGGCCTGCCTGCCTTTGTTTCGTTTGTTGAGTTCAGATGCCGTGTCAAATGCGGGGCATGTGCCCTGTGGAGCTGAGCCCAGTGAGAAAGACATTAAACCAGAGGCGCCCTGGCCGGGGCCTCAGTGGTTGGAGGTCGTCCCATAACCAAAGGTTGTGGGTTTAATTCCTGGTCAGGGCACATACCTAGGTTGTGGGTTCGATCCCCGGTCGGGGTGCGTACTGGAGGCAACTGATGGATGTTTCTGTCACACATTGATGTTTCTCTCTCTCTCTCTCTCTCAAATCAATAAAAACATATCCTCAGGTGAGGACTAAAAACAAAAATTAAACATTAGGAACCATTGGCTTACATTGTTTCTAAAAATAATTATTTGCAGGATTTAATGTTGGGGTTGGGGGGAGGGTCTTTTTAAAACTTGGATTTCTGGCTCCTTTTGAAAATGTTAGATCTGAAAACACTGGTCCCAGTAGGAATGCCTTCTAGGTGGTCACGCTCTCTCCAGCCCCCACCAGTCCCCACCGCCTCACTCACTACTTTCACCCGGGTGCAGGCCTTGGGCTAATAAGGGTGTAATTTATTAAACGGTGATTGGAGTAGGGAGTGTTAATAGAGCAGGGTCAGGTGACACAGGTAGGCTTTCCTGAAAAAGGCATTTGGGTCGAGTTTGAAGGCTGATCAGGAGGGAACTGGCACCTGGACAGGGGTGAAGGCCGAGGTGAGCACACAGTCTGAAGGCAGCGAGGCCGATGCCGGGAGTACAGCTGGGGCTCGCTGGGCAGTGAATGACACGAAACAGGAAAGCCGTTAACAGAACACAAGGCTTGTCCCTGTCCCCTGGTCATCTGGCTTACTTATTCCCCAGAAACCAACCTTCTGCTGAGTATGATCAAAGGTCCACTGGGAACTTCAAGCTGTGCTGAGCTCTGGGCAGCGGCAAAGGTTCTGTTAAGACGGTCTGGCACCAGAGGGTCGAGAGCAGGGCTGTGCCGCTCACGCTCCCCAGGGGCAGGTGCTGTCTGTAGGGGTGGGCCTTCCTGCAGGCGACACCCGGCAGCGGGGAAGCAGCTGGCCTGGTCTCTATGGCTGCGGCTGGAGGGTGTGCTGTGACCCTCAGGGGCTCATGCTTGCCACCTCGTCTGTCCCTAGTCCCTCCTCATGCGGCTCCTGTGGGAGAGGCATCCCTATGCTCTGGGCCACACCTGCGGAGTATTGAGGTGCCCCCAGGGGTGTACCCCATGTTATAGCTCTAACATTTGGTGGTCAGGGGGACTGCAGGAAGGGACAAACAGCCTTGATTTAGAGATGACCTCAAACCACACAAACACTGAGGAAGTTTTGTCCCACGTGAGTTTTGTTACTTGGAAACGTTTATGTATAGTATTTAAAGACAGGAATTGACAACACCATGGAGTTAGTCCTGACGCTCAACTTTCTTACAAAACATGAGTGGGAGACAGAAGAACAGAAATACAGACCGAGGAGAGGAAAGGCAGACTTGCTCTACTTTTGTATCAAATGCCAGGTGCCCAACTTGATCTCTTCTATCTTCAAAGAAGTGATAAACTAGGGACGCCCCTCCCCCAGTTCTCGGCCAGGGTCCGGCCTCTCAGTGCTCCTGCAAACACCTGCGGGCAGAGTGCGGCCGCAGCTCCTCCCTTCTATTTAATTCACTGCTGGCAGCAAAACCTCGGATTTTAGTCAAAATGAGCCAAGCACACACACGAGGCATCTGGAATCTTTAATGGTTTCGAGCCTGGGAAGTGCAGCCAGCACGGCTTGGGGGTCAGGCCGGGAGAGGGTGGCGCGGCCACTGGGTGCGAGTCACCTACGTGCCTCAGAGGCAGGAGTGGCCACACGGGCACCAAGGTCTGGGGGACACCTTGGTGACACGGTGCAGGCCCCCTGCACAGCCAGCGCCCACACGCGGTCTCCAGGAGCCGGTCAGAGCCTGCGCGGGGCGCGGCCTGGGCTCAGAAGCAGTAGGACGTGTGGGTGACCCAGTGGGCCGACTCCTCCTTGGAGCGCTTGGCAGAGCTGTGGGTCGTGAAGAGGGACTTGTAAGCCTCGGACTCCTCGCTGTGGGCGATGGACCTCTTCGTGGCGCCGCAGGGAGGCTTCCCGGCTTTCCCAGAAGAGCTCCCATTAGCTGTTGGGAAAAGGAAAAGCCAGACGCTTTACGGCCGGAACTAAAGATCATTCCAAACAGCATGTTCTCGAAGGGAGAAAAGTAAGCCTGCTCCTCCCGGGAATTTCCCTCCTCCTCCCTTTATCATCTCAGTCACCGCCTCCTAGAGACAGACGGAGCTACGGCGTTTAAAATCACAATAACTACTCAACTTCTTGCCTCGTGCCCACACTGACCCCTCCTCACGAGGGCGTGGGATGGCCGTTTGACGGTTGAATCAGAGGCAGTGGGAGGCTGAGAGAGCTCCCCCGCCGGGGGCTACTACGTGGAGAGCAGGGGTCGAAACCCATAACCACTGTGGCTGCTACTCACAACACGAGGTCAGACATTCTCGTACCTAACCAGTCTGTGTTTTCCTTTCTGTGAAATAAATAGTGTTTTGCTTTTTAGTTAAAGGTAGCAGGTTTCAGGAGAAATGCGCTGAATTCTGGACTATTTGTTGAATGGCTTTCAGAACTTGGCCGAGAGGCGGGTGGGGTGCACACACACCCAGCCCCCGCCCCACGCTGAGCCCCAGCCCTCTACCCCGTCTCTGGGATTCCCGGCCCAGGTCGGGCAGCCTCGTGAGCCTGGCACCAAGCGCACTCTCCACAGGTCAAGGGAACATTAGCACTTGTGCCCAGACCCGTCCGTCCCGACAGGCTCCTGCTCTGGGGTCTGGAAGTGTTTCTAGTCCCCGAGAGAGCTCAGCGCATGACTGAGACAGGACTTGGGATGAACCTTGGTTTTTGAGTTCAGGCCAATAAAGCTGTGACGTGACCCCAGGGCCCAGCTTTCTGAGCAGCCGCTGCGGCTCCGTGGGACCCACCTGTGCTTCTGGGAGCCGGGCCGACTTTCTTCTCCCGGGAGTCAAGGCTGGCGGCCTCAGGCTTTCCTGTGTTCATTCCGGACGGCCCTGCGGACTCTGTAAGAGAAGCAAAGTAAGAGAAGCAGACCACCCAGGGCGCGAAGACCGCCCCTCCACCTGCTTTGCGAGCAGCACCTACCTTCACTGGCCGCCGGGTGTGAGACAGACTCTGCCGCCTTGGCCTTCTTTGTTTTCTGTAGGGAGAGGAAGTGGAGATGTACCTCATTCCCTCCAGTGCCTCAGCGGCCGCCCGCCACCCGAGAGCCTCACGCCAGGCCGAGCGGTGCACTCACGGCGGGGCTCATTTGAAGACAACCCCAGGCGCCATTTATTCCAGACCTGGACCCACTGCGCGTGTCCCGTCATGTACTCTGCCTCACTCAAGAGCATATCTATAGAGAGCTGCTTACGTTCACCTTCCAGAAATCACATTCACAACATTTTGACAGTGTTCAGTGGTAAGTCAACGTGAATGGTGACTGCTGTCCACAAAGGAGCAGCTAACTGAACGATCCGCCCGCACCAGCACCCAGTGGGCTTCTCCGGGCGCTCGCACCGCCTTCCTGTTTGCTCGCTGCTCCACGAGGGCTGAGGCTGTGCTGAAGGACGCTGGGCCGGTCCTCCCGCCTCGGGATTACTGCCATTAAGATGCTCAGGCACTAGGATTCTGTTGCTCCTAATTTTTAAAATGCAACGAACCACTCTAAAACCGCATGGCTGTGCTGGAACCGACTCAATCACAGGAGAAATAGGACCTTGTTCATTCAGAGAATTTCCTTTAAAAATGCCATTTTCCTAAGTAGCCAAAAGATGGCGCTACAGACACACAGCCTAACCATCCAGAAGGTTCCCCTCACTAGACAACGTGGGAAAAGGAACTTTCTCGGGCAGGAGCCCTGAACTTATAATGCACACGTGCATGTGACCTGTAACACTCGTATATGACGTAAAAACCCGAGGACAAGAGCGAGCCCTTCAAAACAGAGAGAGGCAGCTGCTGAGCTCTGAGCCCTGGGCTCACGCAGAGCTCATGTGAAAGGACAGCACTGGGTCGGGAGGAGTGCCAGCCGCCTCCTGCTGGAGTGTCTGAGGAAGTGTCCGGTGTCTGGCAGCAGTAACCAGAGCGCCGGTGAGCACCCCTTGGAGAGGGCACAGGCCTCCCGGGAAGCCTGGGACAGACGCGACAACTCACTGAAGTCAAGTGTCCGCCACCACGCAGACACCTCCGGAGCTCGGGTGCCTTCTGGGGCCCCGAGGGCGGGGAAGGCTAGGGGGCAGCTCCAGGTGCCCCAGGTGCTGTTGGAGGGGCTGCACCTGGGGGCCGGGGGTGGCCACAGGCTCCCGGGGGCCCAGGTGTCCAGGCGACTCCTGGACACTCAGATCTGGGCAGCGGGCTCTTCGGATGTGCTGGGGTGATGGCGATTTTCCTTGATTTCACAAGTTATGAACCCTGATTCCAGGACCCCCACAGGGCCCCAAATCCAAGGATACTCAAGTCCTTTATACAAAATGGCATTTACATAAAGAGCATTTACGCGTGACCTACATGAGCACAGAGGCTACGGAAGAGTGTGCCTACACATCACGTCATTCCTGTGGATCCAGCACAGCGCTCAGCGTGCGGCAAATTTAAGTTTTGCTTTTTGGAACTTTCTGGGATCACCCCCCACCCCTAAATAATTTTGATTCCTGGTTGGTTGAATCCCCTGATGAAAAACCACCGATACAGAGGGTTGATAGGTCTCTTCTAAAATCAGTGAGAGCAACAATTGTGATGGCTCAGCCTGTGGTGCTGTCACCCTCCCAACAACGCTTGTCCCTGACAGGCCCTGCTCCCACCCACCCCACCCCAACCCACCGCAAAAAGTCTTTTTTTCCTTCCATTCAAAAAAGATCCAATAAAGAAACGGAGCAAAACCCACTCCCTAATATCAAAAAG